TACTTACTTTTTTGCATCAATTTTCGGAAACTAAGTTATATTTATATTTTTAAAACCAAATTATTGTTCAAAAGCCAAGTAAAGGGATTTTCCTGAGAAAGCCTTAAGTGCTGTTCACACAAGCCTTCCGTCACCGCACCGGCACTTCAACCGCAATATATGACACATATATTAAGTAATTGAATGGAAAAGTAAATAAACATTAGATTCATGAGATATAAGTTTGTAATCTATTAATTGAAACAAATTATCCATTACCGGTAGTATCTGTTTGGCCAGAGGTGTCCGTAGTATAGTATATCAAATATCAAATATAATACTAAAACTATCTCTCTCTCTCTCTCTCTCTCTCTCTCTCCTGTCTCCTATATATTTGTGTCATTTATAATGAACATCATTATAGTGTACATTACAACGACTGTATTACAGAAATCGGATTTCCGGACTTGTTTTTTGTTATAATTCTTGGCGTTTAATGATTTTCATTAATAAGGAGTACATCTCTATTGTGAACACTTAATGTCTGCACTCTTTTCTATTTATACACCATATATATGATGGCATCTATTTTATTACAGTATTTTTAATTTTAATGGATATGCTCAGGGCTAATTAATAATATGTAGTTGAGTGCTTATGAGTTCTGAGATGTTATCAGTGATATGCTTAGAAAGTAACTAACATTGAAACTATTTTAATACGAGTTTATGTTAAATGCATAATTTGTACTCTAGTTACATTTAAATTATAATACTAGAATAAACAAAAATTAAAAACAATTTATTATGTAAGTTATAAATACAGTCTAGATTGATAATATAGTTGAATCAATATATAATATGTGAATTGAAAATTTAAAAAAATATATTTTACTAAAAAACCCATTTTCCTATTGATCTCTCGGACGACCAGGTATTTCGATTTGTACCGAAACGAGTACTTCTTCGACAGATCCCGTTCCTGTTTCGACGCCATCCTCTACTACTACCAGTCCGGTGGGCGACTCCGGCGACCCTCCTATTGATCTCTCGGACGACCAGGTATTTCGATTTGTACCGAAACGAGTACTTCTTCGACAGATCCCGTTCCTGTTTCGACGCCATCCTCTACTACTACCAGTCCGGTGGGCGACTCCGGCGACCCGTCAACGTCTCCCTCGACATCTTCGTCGAAGAGATCAAGTTCTATGAATTAGGCGAACAGGCGTTCGACAAGTTTCGCGAAGACGAGGGCTTTATTAAAGATGAAGAGAGACCCCTCCCGAAGAACGACACCCAACGAAAGTTGTGGCTACTCTTCGAGTTCCCTGAGTCGTCCCAATGGGCTCGGGTGGTGGCCATCATATCCGTGGTTATCATCCTCTTGTCGATAGTGATCTTCTGCTTGGAGACGCTGCCGGAGTTCAAACACTACAAGATCTACAATATCACCGAAAACATCACCCGAATCATCGAAGACGAGACGCCGTCAGTGACGGAACCATTCTTCATAGTCGAGACCCTCTGTATTGTGTGGTTTTCCGTCGAGATAATCGTCCGCTTCCTGTCGTGTCCGTCGAAACTCGAGTTCATTAAAGATATCATGAATACCATCGATTTGGTGGCCATTATTCCGTATTTCATAACATTGGCCACAATTATGGCCGAGAAGGACGAGGATCGGCACCGCTTTGTGGCCGAGAGGGGCAACCAAGCCATGAGTTTAGCGATACTACGGGTCATACGACTGGTGCGTGTGTTCAGGATATTCAAACTGAGCCGACACTCAAAGGGTCTGCAGATACTCGGCCGCACACTGAAGGCCAGTATGCGTGAGTTGGGTCTCTTGATATTCTTCTTGTTCATCGGTGTTATACTCTTCTCGTCGGCCGTCTATTACGCTGAGGCCGACTCCGACCGCTCGTACTTCAAGTCCATTCCCGACGCCTTCTGGTGGGCCGTCGTCACAATGGTTTGTATTGAGCCCTACATTCACTTTTGTATTCAAATTATACACAGAATATTCTTTTGTTAGTATTTGTATTCTTTAGAATTTAATTAATATATTGATAATCAAGTAAATTAGTGCTAGACTTTGATTAACTTTTATATAATTTAAATTTAGCATAATCAAATATATAGTTTAAAAAGTATAAAGAAAATCATTTATTAATAACTATGTTTTCATAGCAATGTAGTATTTAAATCTATAACAATAAATATTTTGACCCCATTCCTCCCGTTCCCCAACATGTGTGACCCCGTGGACAGACAACTGTAGGCTACGGTGATATGCGACCGGTGGGTGTTTGGGGCAAAATCGTGGGCAGTCTGTGCGCGATCGCCGGTGTATTGACTATAGCGCTACCGGTGCCGGTGATTGTGTCCAACTTCAACTACTTCTACCACCGGGAGACCGATCAGGCGGACCTGGAGTCCACGAACTTCAATCACGTGTCCGGTTGCCCGTACCTGTCGGGAGTGGTGGGCACCTCTAAACTGCGGCGCACCTCCTATAGTGATTCAAACATATCCCGGAGCGGCGGCGACGATAACGAAGACATCTGTGGAGCCGCCGATGATAACGAGGACTCGTATAGGAGGCCGGTGTCGGCGGCTGGGGGTGGGCTGACGGGGACGGCCTCACCACTCATATCGTACAACTCGAGCCGCGATCTGCACCACAACCTCCGCAACAACAACGACCACAACGCCAGCCATCACAACAGCCACTCCTTCATCAGCGACGACAACAACGCAGAGCTCATCCAATCGCGACATTTCAGTCATTATTGTCATCAACTGATCCCGACGTCGATGGCCACCACCGACGCCGACACGGATACCGACACAGACTTCACGATCAATACGAACGTAGATAACAGTAGTAGTAATAAATGTGTGCTTAATATACAGCCCGTGTCGTCGCCCACTCAGCTACCAGTGCTGTTGCCCATCCATCATCACCACCACCATCACCAGCAACGGTGTGACTGTATCTCATCGCCAGCCGGTTCTTCATCGACAGTTGGTTCGTCTTCGGCGGTCATTAATTCTTACTACAAGTCTATGGAAGCGATCGCTGGAGTGAGGAGTCGGTCGCCGACACCACAGCCGCCACAAAGACTATTAGCTACCAGTGCTATACCACTGACATTAGGGCCACAAATCAGTGCTTCCATTGCGGACAATACGACCACAACACCTGCCAGTGCGGTCCAGAGTGTGGATAATAATAGGACTAAACACATAGATAGGAGTATTAGTAGTGATTATCACAGCGCTGTCACGAACATACCTCCCGGTGTGGACAGTAGTGGTTCACAACATATACTACCCATTGAGACCGATGTCTGACCACAAGAATATTCTGTTGACTTTTTTGTATTAAGTTTTATGATTTTACTGTTAAGTGTATGATGTTTTCAACAAATGGTTAGTTTAGACATAAGAAAAAAGTTACATAAAGTTTAGTGTAAATCAAAAGTATTTATTAATTAATTTATATAAAGTTTATTAAAAATTTATAATATATTGTTATATAATTATAAGAGTATACTAGTAATACCAAAAAAACGGCTTACGATTCAGACCATATGAAAAGTATTAAAGTAATAGATAGCTATTATTAATATGATTAGAGACTTTTAGATTTTATTTCTAATTCAAACGAATAGTAAATATAAAATTAAAAAACTTTTTTATATTTTTAATTTTGAGGAAATTTTTATCAAATTATAAAAATATAGATATAATAATTAAGACTCAATGAGTGATGGAAAACGCATTCATATCATGCATATTACATAAGAAACAATGTATTTTGATTTTAATGATAATATTTTTGGTCACCTATTTAGTTGAACAGAAAATAATTTACTTAAATTCAAAATTCTAATGATTTTTTCGGGTAATATTTATTTATAACAACAACGATAATAATAAGTTAATAATAATAATAAATTCATTGTTTTGTTTTGCCATACAGTATGAAAAACTATTGTCACTTATAAACAGATAGTTATAAAAAATATTTTATATTAAATATACATTTAAATAAATGATAGGAACTGAAATGTAGTATAATGGCTCGGAATATAGATTATCTATTAATTTATTACTAGTAATGACCAGCGTAAGTTTAATGTCACAAAAAATTATTGTAAAGTATATCATGTAATTTGTACCTAGTTATATTTATATATAGAAACTTTTGTATAAACAAAAAATATAAGCAGCTTAACGTCCAATTAAATTATACCCTGATAATCACGCTTATTCATATACGATATAAGGGATACGAATGCTTATTAGGATATAAAGTGTATAAAAAT